TTCTAGTCTGTGTTAGCAAAACAGTACTGTAGCTTAGCATCTGCGTCATCTGACCACTTCCTTATTAACCAAGTCACTGGTGCTTCCTGCTTTAGTTTTTGCTTATAAGCAGGAGGATAGAATTATGGTCAGATTAGCCAAATGGAGGGTGAGGGAGAGCTTTGTACGCGTCTCTGTGTGTGGAGTAAAGGTGGTCTAGAGTTTTTTTTCCTCTGGTTGCACATTTAACATGCTGGTAGAAATTAGGTAGAACGGATTTAAGTTTCCCTGCATTAAAGTCCCCGGCCACTAGGAGCGCTGCCTCTGGATGAGCGTTTTCCTGTTTGCTTATGGCCTTATACAGCTCATTGAGTGCAATCTTAGTGCCATCATCGGTTTGTGGGGGTAAATAGACAGCTATGAAAAATATAGATGAAAACTCTCTTGGTAAATAGTGTGGTCTACAGCTTATCATGAGATCCTCTACCTCAGGCGAGCAAAACCTTGAGACTTCCTGTGTATTAGATTTTATGCACCAGCTGTTGTTTACAAATATACACAGACCGCCACCCCTTGTCTTACCGGAGTCAGCCGTTCTATCCTGCCGATGTAGCGTATATATTCCGACAGCAGCATGTTATCCATGTCGTCGTTCAGCCACGACTCGGAGAAACACAAGATATTACAGTTTTTAATATCCCGTTGATAGGATATCCTTGATCGTAGGTCATCCATTTTGTTTTCCAATGATTGTACGTTGGCTAGTAGGACGGATGGAACAGGCAGATTACTCGCTCGCCGTCAGATCCTTACAAGGCACTCCGACTTACGGCCCTGATATCTCAGTCTCTTTCTTACGCGAATAACGGGGATTTGGGCCTTGTCGGGTGTCTGTAGAATATCCTTTGCGTCCGACTCGTTGAAGAAAAAATCTTTGTCCAGTACGAGGTCAGTAATCACTGTCCTGATATCCAGAAGCTCTTTTTGGTCATAAGAAAACGGTGGCAGAAACATTATGTACAGAATAAATTAGAAATAACACGAAAAAACACACATAATAGCACAATTGGTTAGGGGGCCGTAAAACGGCAGCCATCTCCTCCGGCGCAATTTTCTTACTTTCTAGCTATTATATGGTAGTCATCATATAGTTATTATATGGTAGTCATCATATAGCTATTATATGGTAGTCATCATATAGTTATTATATGGTAGTCATCATATAGTTATTATAGGGTAGTCCTCATATAGTTATTATAGGGTAGTCCTCATATAGTTATTATATGGTAGTCATCATATAGTTATTATATGGTAGTCATCATATAGTTATTATATGGTAGTCATCATATAGTTATTATATGGTAGTCATCATATAGTTATTATATGGTAGTCATCATATAGTTATTATATGGTAGTCATCATATAGTTATTATATGGTAGTCATCATAGTTTTTATATGGTAGTCATCATTAGTTATTATATGGTAGTCATCATTGTAGTTATTATGGTAGTCATCAAGTTATTATATGGTAGTCATCATATAGTTATTATATGGTAGGCATCATATAGTTATTATATGGTAGTCATCATATAGTTATTATATGGTAGTTCATATAGTTATATATGGTAGTCATCATAGTTTTATATGGTAGTCATCATAGTTATTATATGGTAGTCATCATAGTTATTATATGGTAGTCATCATATAGTTATTATATGGTAGTCATCATAGTTATTATATGGTAGTCATCATATAGTTATATATGGTAGTCATCACATAGTTATTATATGGTAGTCATCATATAGTTATTATATGGTAGTCATCATAGTTATTATATGATAGTCATCATTGTTATTATATGGTAGTCATCATATAGTTATTATATGGTAGTCATCATAGTTATTATACGATAGTCATCATAGTTATTATGTGGTAGTCATCATATAGTTATTATATTGCAGTCATCATATAGTTATTATATGGTAGTCATCATATAGTTATTATATGGTAGTCATCATATATTTTTATAGGGTAGTCATCATATAGTTATTATAGGGTAGTCATCATATAAGTATTATATGGTAGTCATCATATAGTTATTATATGATAGTCATCATAGTTATTATATGGTAGTCATCATATAGTTATTATATGGTAGTCATCATATAGTTTTATTAGTAGTCACAGTTATTATAGGGTAGTCAGCATATAGTTATTATATGGTAGTCATCATATAGTTATTATTAGGTAGTCATCATATAGTTATTATATGGTAGTCATCATATAGTTATTATATGGGTAGTCATCATATAGTTATTATATGGTAGTCATCATATAGTTATTATATGGTAGTCATCATATAGTTTATTATATGGTAGTCATCATATAGTTTATTATATGGTGTCATCATGATAGTTATTATATGGTAGTCCATCAACGTTATTATATGGTAGTCATCATATAGTTATTATATGGTAGTCCATCATATAGTTATTATATGGTAGTCATCAAATAGTTATTATATGGTAGTCATCATATAGTTTATTATATGGTAGTCATCATAGAGTTATTATAGTAGTCATATATTATTATATGGTAGTCATCATAAGTTATTATATGGTATCATCATAAGTTCTTTATATGGTAGTCATCATATAGTTATTATATGGTAGTCCATCATATAGTTATTATATGGTAGTCATCATATAGTTTATTATATGGTAAGTCATCATATAGTTATTATATGGTAGTCATCATAGTTATTATATGGTAGTCATCATAGTTTATATATGGTAGTCATCATATAGTTAGTTATATGGTAGTCATCATAGTTTATTATATGGTAGTCATCATATAGTTATTATATGGTAGTCATCATATAGTTATATATGGTAGTCATCATATAGTTATTATATGGTAGTCATCATATAGTTATTATATGGTAGTCATCATAGTTATTATATGATAGTCATCATTGTTATTATATGGTAGTCATCATATAGTTATTATATGGTAGTCATCATAGTTATTATACGATAGTCATCATAGTTATTATACGGTAGTCATCATATAGTTATTATATGGTAGTCATCATATAGTTATTATATGGTAGTCATCATATAGTTATTATATGGTAGTCATCATATAGTTATTATATGGTAGTCATCATATAGTTATTATATGGTAGTCATCATATAGTTATTATATGGTAGTCATCATATAGGTTATTATATGGTAGTCATCATATAGTTATTATATGATAGTCATCATAGTTATTATATGGTAGTCATCATATAGTTATTATATAGTAGTCATCATATAGTTATTATATGGTAGTCATCATAGTTATTATATGACAGTCATCATATAGTGTAGTTATTTTATGGTAGTCATCATATACTGTAGTTAAATGGTAGTCATCATAAATTATATATGGTTATGAATTTCTCACTTTAGTTAGTTATTGTAAGAATTATTTCAGAGTTATAGTTGTTATTAATGTGGCTTGCGAAAGCAGCCACACTTTAGATATCGTAATAATTATTTCTGACATAGTTAGGTGGTACTTCTGAAGCAAAACTCCCGACTTTAAATCTTCGTCATACTTCTTCTTATTATTATTATTCTGTACGCTACTCCTCTGACACCGTTTAAGCTAAAAAGGCCATTCAAACTTTAAAATGTGCAGACTGGTCTGGAATAGTGTGCTTGCATTCAACATTTTGATATTATTTCTACTTTTTAAACTATACATTATTTTGGTCTTTGTTTTGTCCATCTTCATTCACTTTAATGTGACTTTTTTAAAAACATTCTAAAGCTCTCCATTGTGACATCATCACTTCAAACTTCCATTCACTGTAAATGTAACGATGCAACTTTTGACACAAATCAGCTAACTTTGACCACTTTGCCAAAGACTTACAGTGCATTCGGAAAGTACTCAGACCCCTTGACATTTTCCACATTTTGTAACGTTACAGCCGTATTCTAAAATGGATTAAATAGTCCCCCCCCCCCCGCCCCCCTCATCAATCTACAGACCACGTCTTCATAGCACAACACATTCCCATGATTTGTGAATCTGTTTTGGACCGAACAGCTAGCGGAAAGAATTCTAATGCTTCACCAGGCTGGACCACCAGGAATGATACAGAGAAGATTTATAATGCTCAATAGCTTTGTCCTTCTCAGGATGGTGCCCTGTGCTCTAAATAACTCAACTGGCTAATTTGCCTGTCTGTAAAGAAAAGGGTGGGCTATACAATGATCCAGCTGCTCTGATTGGATAGATAATAATAATAATAATAATAATAATAATATCAAAGCTGTCTCTGTTCACTCTCTTCATATTTCATCCGATCACTTCTCATCGTACTTCTTTCAGTTTGCACACACAACTACTGACCACACCCACACAACTACTGACCACACCCACACAACTACTGACCACACCAACACAATTACTGACCACACAACCACTGACCTAACCTATTGATCACAACTACTGACATAACTTAGCATAAAATAACCGACCAACAGTAACGGTTCAAGCTAGTCACACCAAACCAACTTTCACATGTTCAGGCTATCCTATCTACTGCAACAAAAACACGTTTAAAGAGCTAAAGCTGGCGTGTGAGTTAGCATGTTTCATGGCAACAGATCCATTAGATTGTGGCGTGTGTGTGGTTAGCGTGTTTCATGACAACGGATCCATTAGATTGTGGCGTGTTTGTGGTTAAGCATGTTTCATGACAACGGATCCATTAGATTGTGGCGTGTTTGTGGTTAGCATGTTTCATGACAACAGATCCATTAGATTGTGGCGTGTTTGTGGTTAAGCATGTTTCATGACAACGGATCCATTAGATTGTGGCGTGTTTGTGGTTAAGCATGTTTCATGACAACGGATCCATTAGATTGTGGCGTGTTTGTGGTTAAGCATGTTTCATGACAACGGATCCATTAGATTGTGGCGTGTTTGTGGTTAGCGTGTTTCTTTAGTGTGTTTCTTCTATGTTTTTTCTTCTTTAAAATGGGCAGATGAGGGGTTGCGTGTATACTCACTCTCGCACTCCTTGACGTCTGTGTTGAACTGCTGCAGAGCCCCCATAGACACCTGTCTGACGTCTGTCTCCAGTAGCAGCTGGACCAGAGAGGTGGAGAGGTGCTTACAGACATAGAGTGGGGTGGGGGGGGAAAAAGGGGAAGGGTTGGCGGGGGGGGAAAGGGGGGGGGGGGGGGGCCCGGGGGGGAAGGGGAGGGGAAAGGGGAAAAAGGAAAAAAAAAAGGGGGGGGGGTTTTTTAAAGGGGGGGGGGGGTTTTTGGGGGGGGGAAAAAAGGGGGGGGAAAAAAAAAAAAAAAAAAAAAAGGGGGGAAAAAAAAAAGGGGGGGCCCCAAAAAAAATTTCCCAAATTTCCCAAAAACCGGGGGGGGGGGGGGGAAAAAAAAGGGGGGGGGGGGCCCCCCCCAAAAAAAGGGGGGGGAAAGGGGGGGGGGGGGAAAAAGGGGAGGGGGGGGGGGAAACGGGGGGGGGGGGGGGGTTTTTTGGGGGGGGGGGGAAATTTTTCCCCCCTTTTTTTTTTGGGGGGGGTTTTTTTTTTTTGGGGGGTTTTTTAAGAACCCTTTTTGGGGAACCAAACCCTTGTTTTTTTTTTGGGCCCCCCCTTGGGGGGGGGGTTTTTGGGGGGGGGTTTTTTTTAAAAAATTTTTTTGGGGGGGCCCTTTTGGGGGGGGGGGGGGGGGGGGCCCCCCTTTTTTAAATTTTGGGGGGGGGTTTTTTTTTTTGGGTTTTTTTTTTTTTTGGGGGGGGGGGCCCCCCCAAATTAATTTCCCCTTTTTTTGGAATTGGGGCCCCTTTGGAATTTTTTCCCCCCCCCCCCCGGGGGGGGGGGGGGGGGGGGGGGTGGGGGGGGGGTTGGGGGGGGGGGGGGGGGGGGAAGGGGGGGGGGGGAAGAGGGGGGGGAAAGGGGGGGGGGGGGGGGGGAGGGGGGGGGGGAAAGGGGGGGGGGGGAGGGGGGGGGGGAAAGGGGGGGGGGGGGGGGGGGGGGGGAAAAGGGGGGGGGGGGGGGGGGGGAGGGGGGGGGGGGGGAGGGAGGGAGGGGGGGGGGGGAAAAAGGGGGAAGGGGGGGGGGGAAAAAAAAGGGGGGGTAGGGGGTTGGGGGGGGCCCCCCGGGGGGGGGGGGGAAAAAAAAAGGGGGGGAGGGGGGGGGCCCCCCCCAAAAAAGGGGGAAAAAAACCCCCCTTTTTTTTTCCCCCCCCGGGGGGGGCCCCAAAAACCCCAAAAAATTTTTTTGGTTTTTTAAATTTGGGGGTTAAAAAAAAACCCCCCTTTTTTTTTGGTTTTTGGGGGGTTTTTTTTTCCCCCCCCCCCCCCAAAAAAAAAACCCCCCCTTTTGGGGGGTTTAAAGGGGGGGGCCCCCAAAAAAGGGGGGGGGGCCCCCCCCCCCCCCCCCCGGGGGGGGGGGGGGGAAAGGATTTGGGTTTTTGGGGGGAAAAAAAAAGGGGGGGGGGGTTTTTTAAAAAGGGGGGGAAAAAACGGGGGGGGTTTTTTTAAAAGGGGGGGGGAAAAAATTTTTTTGGGTTTTTTTTTTTTTTTTTGGGGGGGGGGGTTTTTTGGGGGGGGGGGGGGAAGGGGGGAGAGGGGGGGGGGGGGAGGGGGGGGGGAGGGGGGGGGGGGGAGGGAGGGGGGGGGGGGGGAGAGAGGGGGGGGGGGGAAGGGGGGGGAAAGGAGGGAGAGGGGGGAGGGGGGGGGGGGAGGGGGGAGGAGAAAAAAAGGGGGGGGGGGGGTTTAAAAGGGACAGGGGGGGGGGGAAAAAAGGGGGAGGGGGGGGGGGGGGAAAAAGGGGGGGGGGGGGGGGGCCAGGGGGGGGGGGTTTTTGGGGAAGGGGGGGGGGGGGGGGGGGGGGTTTTAAAGGGGGAGGGGGGGGGGGAAAAAAAAGGGGGGGGAAAGGAGGGGGGGGAAGGGGGGAAAGGGGGGGGGGGTTTGGGAGGGGAAGGGGAAAAAGGGGGGGGGGGGGAAAAAAGGGGGGGGGGGGGGAAAAAGGGGGAAAAAATTAAAAAAAAAACCCTTTTTTCCTTTCCCCCCCCATTTTTAAAGGGGGGGGTTTTTTTTTCCCTTAAGAACGGCTTGCCCCCTTTTTTAAAAGGGGTTTGTCATTTTTGGGGTTTTTAAAAAAGGGGGGTTTTTTTGGGGGGTTTTTTAAAATTTAGGGGGTTTTTTTGGGGTTTTTTATGTTTTTTTTTTAGGGGGGGGGGGTTTTTTTTGGGGGGTTTTTGGGGGGGGTTTTTTTTTTTGGGGGGTTTTTTTTTTTTTTCCCCCCCCTTTTTTTCCCCTTTTAAATCCCCCCCCCCCCTTTTTTCCCCCCCCCCCCCCCCCCTTTTTTTTTTTTTTCCCCCCTCCCCCCGGCCCCCCCCCCCCCGGGGGGGGGGTTTAAAAGGGGCCCAAAAAAAACCCCCGGGGGGGGGGAAAGGGAAAAACTAAAAAAAACCCCTTTTCCCCCCTCTTTTTTTCCCCCCCCTTTTTTTTAAAAAAAAAACCCCCCCCCCCCCTTTCCCCCCCCCTTTTTTTTCCCCCCCCCCCCCCCCCCCCCCCCCCCCCCCCCCCCCCCCCCCCCCCCCAAACCCCCCCCCCCCCCCCCCCCCTTTTAAAAAATTTAACCCTTTTTTTTAACCCCCGACCATTTTTTTTCCCCCCAAACCCCCTGGGGGGGGGCCCCCCCCCCCCCTTTTTTTTTCCCCCCCCGGGGGGGCCCCCCCCAAAAACCCCCCCCCCCCCTTCCCCCCCCCCCCCCCCCCCCCCCCCCCCCCCCTTTTAACCCCCCTTTTTTTTCCCCCCCGGGCCCCTTTAAGAAAAAAAAAACCCCCCCCAAAAAAAAAACCCCCCCCCCCTTTAAAACCAAACCCCCCCCTTTTTTTTTTTTTAAAAAGGGGGGGTTTTGCCCCCCCCCCTTTTTTTTTTTTTTTAAAAAAAATTTTCCTGGGGGGTTTCTTTTCCCCCCCTTCCCCCCAAAAGGGAAAATTCCCCCCCCCTTTTTTTTTCCCCCGGGGGGGTTTTTTTGGGGGAAAAACCCCCCCCCCCCCCGGGATGGGCCCCCGGGGGGGCCCCTTTTTTGGGGGCCCCCTTTTGGGGTGCCCACCAAATGGCGTGGCGGGGAAAGGGTTTCCGCAAAAGTGCCCCTTTAACCCCCTTTGGTTTTTCCCCCAGGGATCGGTTTCTGGGCCCTCTCCTTTTTCCCCATTTCAAACCCAAATCCCCTTTGGGTCTGTTAAATCCCCCCCTGGCCTTTTCCCTTCCCTTGAAAGCTGACGATAAAATAAACTTCTAATTTTTCCCCCCTTTTGATAACCCGGTGGCCCAAGCCCTCTCTGCATGTCTGGGAGACAACAGTAGGATGAAAGGGTTCACCAAACCTTTAAGCTGAACCCTGGGAAGACGGAGCTGCCTTTTTTCCACCGGGGAAGGGCGGCCCGTTTTGATTCGCCCTCACGGTTGACAACTCCGTGTGTCCCCTCCCAAGTGCGAAGAAAAGTAGGCCCTTTCCCTTGGGGCAACACCCTGTGTTTCCGCCAAAAATCAAGGGGGTACCCGCTCCCGCAGGGTTTAGCCTTTTTTACAACAAATTTGGAGGGGGTGCACCCCGCTTACACAAGGAAAAACGGGGCAGGTTCCTGGGCCCGGGCCCCTTTTCATTTTCCCTCTGGACCCATGCAAATTTGTTTGGGGGGCCCCCCTGCCGGGGCCATTAAACCCCACAAAAACCTTCCCGAATGCCCCAGCCCCTTTTGGTGTTCAAAACCTTTCCAAAGTTCTCTACGCACCCCCCCCCCCGCACACTCCACTGGCTTCCAGTTTAAAGCTCGCATCCGCTAAAAAACCATGGGGGGCTTGCCTATGGAGCAGTGAGGGGAACGGCACCCTTACCCTTTAGGGTTGATCAGTCCCCACAAACCAAAAAGAGGAAATTTGGTTTTTCCCCCCGGGGCCCGCTGGTCCCCCTTTCCCCTGCGGAAAAATAGTCCCCCTCCGCCCCCTCAAAAATGTTCGTGCTCTGGGACCCCAATGGGGAACAAATCCCTCCCGGGCCCCCAGGACAGCGGGCACCCCACCCCTTCCCGGGGAAAATTTTAAACCCCACTCTTTTAAAGGGAATTTCCCGGGATGGAAAAGTTTTTCCTTTTAACCCCCCCCCCCCCCCCCCCCCCCAAATTGTAAAGTGGTTATCCCACTGGCTATAGGGTGAACGCACCAATTTGTGAGTCGCTCTGGCTAAGAGCGTCTGCTAAATGACGTTAATGTGCCTTGAGCAAGGCACTTACCCTAATTGCTCCTGTAAGTCGCTCTGGTTAAGAGCGTCTGCTAAATGACTAAAATGTAAAATGTAAATGTAGTAGGGTGTCTCTCCCGAGTGGCACAGTGGTCTAAGGCACTGCATTGCAGTGCTAGCTGTGCCACTAGAGATTTTGCTACCAAAATGGGGGGGGGGGGGGGGGCAGTAAGGAAGGGTCCAACTTCAGAGCAATGTTATTCACTCTTCAGGCGATGTTAACCAAGGGCATGCCAGTCAAAAGGAGTCAGCAAAACCAGGGGGTCAATCCATTCAGTGGTCAAAACACAAAGTGTTGTGGAAGAGTTAAGGGCCAAGGGGAAGGGGTAGTTATTTGTGAGCAAATTGGGACCCGGCGTTAATCACAGAGCATGTGTCCCAAACGCCACCCTATTCCCAACACGGTGAAATATATATAGTTACTATTATAGTGAACTATATAGGAAATAGAATAAATCCCATTTGGGACAAAGCCGACTTCCAAAAGTTAAAAAGGTGTCTGTTAAGGGGAGTGCAACCTCAGCCTGTTAAGGGGAGTGCAACCTCAGCCTGTTAAGGGGAGTGCAACCTCAGCCTGTTAAGGGGAGTGCAACCTCAGTCTGTTAAGGGGAGTGCAACCTCAGTCTGTTAAGGGGAGTGCAACCTCAGCCTGTTTAAGGGGAGTGCAACCTCAGTCTGTTAAGGGGAGTGCAACCTCAGCCTGTTAAGGGGAGTGCAACCTCAGCCTGTTAAGGGGAGTGCAACCTCAGCCTGTTAAGGGGAGTGCAACCTCAGCCTGTTAAGGGGAGTGCAACCTCAGCCTGTTAAGGGGAGTGCAACCTCAGTCTGTTAAGGGGAGTGCAACCTCAGTCTGTTAAGGGGAGTGCAACCTAGCCTGTTAAGGGAGTGCAACCTCAGCCGGTTTAAGGGGAGTGCAACCTCAGCCTGTTAAGGGGAGTGCAACCTCAGTCTGTTAAGGGGAGTGCAACCTCAGCCTGTTAAGGGGAGTGCAACCTCAGCCTGTTAAGGGGAGTGCAACCTCAGCCTTGTTAAGGGGAGTGCAACCTCAGCCTGTTAAGGGGAGTGAAAACCTCAGCCTGTTAAGGGGAGTGCAACCTCAGCCTGTTAAGGGGAGTGCAACCTAGTCTGTTAAGGGGAGTGCAAACCTCAGCCTGTTAAGGGGAGTGCAACCTCAGCCTGTTAAGGGGAGTGCAACCTCAGCCTGTTAAGGGGAGTGCAACCTCAGTCTGTTAAGGGGAGTGCAACCTCAGCCTGTTAAGGGGAGTGCAACCTCAGCCTGTTAAGGGGAGTGCAACCTCAGCCTGTTAAGGGGAGTGCAACCTCAGCCTGTTAAGGGGAGTGCAACCTCAGCCTGTTAAGGGGAGTGAAAACCTCAGCCTGTTAAGGGGAGTGCAACCTCAGCCGGGTTAAGGGGAGTGCAACCTCAGCCTGTTAAGGGGAGTGCAACCTCAGCCTGTTAAGGGGAGTGGCAACCTCAGTCTGTTAAGGGGGAGTGCAACCTCAGCCTGTTAAGGGGAGTGCAACCTCAGTCTGTTAAGGGGAGTGCAACCTCAGCCTGTTAAGGGGAGTGCAACCTCAGTCTGTTAAGGGGAGTGCAACCTCAGCCTGTTAAGGGGAGTGCAACCTCAGTCTGTTAAGGGGAGTGCAACCTCAGTCTGTTAAGGGGAGTGCAACCTCAGCAAACTCTTTCACTCTTCAATCACTCAAATCAGAATTTCTTTCAGACTTCAGGAGCTGTCAACCAATCCGAATCTTGTTCAGACTTTAAGGGGCTGTCAATCAATCAATCAATCAAACAAAGTGTCTGTCCATCTGAATGAGTTAGCGCAACACCAGCCAGCCAGCCAGTCCATACATGTATTCTTGACAAAAACCCGGCGACCGTGCATCACGCTCATGCTCCGTGGTCGGGTTACGCTCAGTAACTGTACTTACCGGCAGTCTAGCGTGTTCTATGGCACTACCCTACGAGAAAGAGAGCAAGTAGGGGGTCAAGGGTGAAGGGTGAAAGGTCATTTGGGAGTAGTCCCCCCCCCAAAAAAAATCTGTGGTCAAACCGCGTTCTCAATCTCATCAAATCAAAGTTTAATCAACAGTCTGATGGTAATAGAAGCTGTTCAACAGTCTGATGGTAATAGAAGCTGTTCAACAGTCTGATGGTCTGGTAATAGAAGCAGTTTTTATTGTCTCTCACTCCAGCCAGCTGGTCTGCGCATGCGGCTGGTCGCGGTAGAGGGAGGAGGTGTGCGAGTGTGAGTGAGTGTGTGTGTGTGTGTGTGTGTATACTGATGTGTGTGTGGATCGTCTCTGTGTGTGGAAGAGTCAGGGGGTTGTAAAGTTCACAAACACACTCTCACATGCGCAGGCAGTAGAGGTCTTCACGGGTTCAACAGACCCGAAATTCAGAGATCAGACCCCGGGTCCCGTGCGGGTCCTGGTCGTAAATGTCTACTTTGAGCTCGGAATCTGGGTCGGGTCTGATATAAGCGCCACGAGTCTCGGGTAGGTGCAATTAAAATGCATTTACCGACTGGACCCGTCCTCTGTGAATATAATGCGTGTGAGTCGATGAGAACTGCGTGAGCTTCTTAACCGTGTCAGCCAATTGCAACACAATAAAACGTATAGTTTATGTCCAGCTGAAACTGGTTCCGGCTTCTCACGTCACGTGCGCCTCCTTCTGAGGAGAGAGAGAGAGAGAGAGTGTGTGTGAGTGAAAGGAGCGCTGGCCTAGGTCACTATTGATTGTGAAGATGGAGGCGTTTTTCAGGGAAGTAAAAAGGAAGTTTGAGGCGAAAGAGTGAAAAGAAGCCTATGAGGGGAATGTTAGTGGACAAAGATGAGAAAAACTTTGGTGCAGCCAAATGGACTGTGTGCAACTCGCTATTCAGGTTTGATGCAATTTTCTAACTTGTATTTCTTTAATTTTTGTATTTATCATCATCTGTTTTCATTGTAATTATTGTAGGCCTATTTAATAATCTAAACCAGTTCTTTATATATGCAAAAAAAGTGTTTTGTTTCATTTTGTTGATACATTTTCGTTGGTTAAATTAAACTGTCTTTTTAATTAGGTAAAAAAATAGGCAGTTCTATAGGCCTAAGATTCTCTTCCTTAAATGTATATTTTTATATTAATATCATACAGTGGACACCTAAGCCTATAGGAGTATACATGCAATGCCCTGAAGCATTTAGTCCTCAAATCTCCGACAGCTGAACCGTGAGGTGGACAATTGTTTTAGGAAAGTAAAAACAAGACAAAACAAATATAATGTTTTGAATATGCTACACATCGAAACACAATGAAAAGTTGTGTAATTTGTTAAAAGGCAGGTTTTAACCACATGTAACTGTGGATCATGGATCGTGCCCAGTTGGAGGTTTCTTTCTCCCTCCCTTTCTACTCTGGGATGTCAACGGGTCTCTCGGCTCCGAACCAGCACGGCTCTGTTTGGGTCTGGTTTTTCCACGGGACTTTTCGGAACGGGTCTGACTGTCCTCTGGTACATTCGGAACAGGTCTTTGTTCAACAAAAAAACAAATATATATAAATATATATATATATATATATATATATATATATACACACACTGCTCAAAAAAATAAAGGGAACACTTAAACAACACAATGTAACTCCAAGTCATTCACACTTCTGTGAAATCAAACTGTCCACTTAGGAAGCAACACTGATTGACAATAAATTTCACATGCTGTTGTGCAAATGGAATAGACAACAGGTGGAAATTATAGGCAATTAGCAAGACACCCCCAATAAAGGACTGGTTTTGCAGGTGGTGACCACAGACCATTTCTCAGTTCCTATGCTTCCTGGATGTTTTGGTCACTTTTGAATGTAGGCGGTGCTTTCACTCTAGTGGTAGCATGAGACGGAGTCTACAACCCACACAAGTGGCTCAGGTAGTGCATTTCATCCAGGATGGCACATCAATGCGAGCTGTGGCAAGAAGGTTTGCTGTGTCTGTCAGCGTAGTGTCCAGAGCATGGAGGCGCTACCAGGAGACAGGCCAGTACATCAGGAGACGTGGAGGAGGCCGTAGGAGGGCAACAACCCAGCAGCAGGACTGCTACCTCCACCTTTGTGCAAGGAGGAGCAGGAGGAGCACTGCCAGAGCCCTGCAAAATGACCTCCAGCAGGCCACAAATGTGCATGTGTCTGCTCAAACGGTCAGAAACAGACTCCATGAGGGTGGTATGAGGGCCCGACGTCCACAGGTGGGGGTTGTGCTTACAGCCCAACACCGTGCAGGACGTTTGGCATTTGCCAGAGAACACCAAGATTGGCAAATTCGCCACTGGCGCCCTGTGCTCTTCACAGATGAAAGCAGGTTCACACTGAGCAGATGTGACAGACGTGACAGAGTCTGGAGACGCCATGGAGAATGTTCTGCTGCCTGCAACATCCTCCAGCATGACCGGTTTGGCGGTGGGTCAGTCATGGTGTGGGGTGGCATTTCTTTGGGGGGCCGCACAGCCCTACATATGCTCGCCAGAGGTAGCCTGACTGCCATTAGGTACTGAGATGAGATCCTCAGACCCCTTGTGAGACCATATGCTGGTGCGGTTGGCCCTGGGTTCCTCATAATGCAAGACAATGCTAGACCTCATGTGGCTGGAGTGTGTCAGCAGTTCCTGCAAGAGGAAGGCATTGATGCTATGGACTGGCCTGCCCGTTCCCCAGACCTGAATCCAATTGAGCACATCTGGGACATCATGTCTCGCTCCATCCACCAATGCCACGTTGCACCACAGACTGTCCAGGAGTTGGCGGATGCTTTAGTCCAGGTCTGGGAGGAGATCCCTCAGGAGACCATCCGCCACCTCATCAGGAGCATGCCCAGGCGTTGTAGGGAGGTCATACAGGCACGTGGAGGCCACACGCACTACTGAGCCTCATTTTGACTTGTTTTTAAGGACATTACATCAAAGTAGGATCAGCCTGTAGTGTGGTTTTCCACTTAAATTTTGAGGGTGACTCCAAATCCAGACCTCCATGGATTGATAAATTGACTTCCATTTATCATTTTAGTGTGATTTTGTTGTCAGCACATTCAACTATGTAAAGAAAAAAGTATTTAATAAGATTATTTCATTCATTCAGATCTAGGATGTGTTATTTTAGTGTTCCCTTTATTTTTTTGAGCAGTGTATATATATATATATATATATATATATATATATATATATATATATATATATATATATATATATATATATATATATATATATATATATATATACACACACACTACAAGTCAAAAGTTTGGACACACCTACTCATTGAAAGATTTTTCTTTATTTGTACTATTTTTTTACATTTTAGAATAATAGTGAAGACATCAAAACTATGACATAACACATATGGAATCATGTAGGTACCCAAAAAAGTGTTAAACTAATCAAAATATATGTTATATTTGAGATTCTTCAAATAGCCACCCTTTGCCTTGATGACAGCTTTGCACACTCTTGGCATTCTCTCAACCAGCTTCATGAGGTAGTCACCTGGAATGTAATTTCAATTAACAGGTGTGCCTTCTTAAAAGTTAATTTGTGGAATTTATTTCCTTCTTAATGCATTTGAGCCAATCAGTTGTGTTGTGACAAGGTAGGGGGGGGGTATACAGAAGATAGCCCTATTTGGTAAAAGACCAAGTCCATATTATGGCAAGAACAGCTCAAATAAGCAAAGAGAAACGACAGTCCATCATTACTTTAAGACATGAATGTCAGTCAATATGGAACATTTTCAAGAACTTTGAACGTTTCTTCAAGTGCAGTCGCAAAAACCATCAAGCGCTATGATGAAACTGGCTCTCATGAGGACCGCCACAGGAAAGGAAGACCCAGAGTTAACTCTGCTGCAGAGGATAAATGCTTCACAGAGTTCAAGTCACAGACACATCTCAACATCAACTGTTCAGAGGGGACTGTGTGAATCAGGCCTTCATGGTCGAATTGCTGCAAAGAAACCACTACTAAAGGACACCAATAAGACGACGATACCTGATTGGGCTAAGAAACACGAGCAATGGACATTAGACCAGTGGAAATGTGTCCTTTGGTCTGATGAGTCCAAATTTGAGATTTTTGCTTCCAACCGCTGTGTCTTTGTAAGATGCGGTGTGGGTGAACGGACTGATCTCCGCATGTGTAGTTCCCACCGTAAAGCATGGAGGAGGAGGAGGTGTTATGGTGTGGGGGTGCTTTGCTGGTGAGACACTGATTTATTTAGAATTCAAGGCACACTTAACCAGCATGGCTACCACAGCATTCTACTGCGATATGCCATCCCATCTGGTTTGCGCTTAGTGGGACTATCATTTGTTTTTCAACAGGACAATGACCCAACACACCTCCAGACTGTGTAAGGGCTATTTGACCAAGAATGAGAGTGATGGAGTGCTGCATCAGATGACCTGGCCTCCACAATCACCCGACCTCAACCCAATTGAGATGGTTTGGGATGAATCTCAAATATAACAATATATTTTGTTTTACACTTTTTTGGTTACTACATTATTCCATATGTGTTATTTCATAGTTTTGATGTCTTCACTATTATTCTACAATGTAGAAAATAGTAAAAATAAAAGACAAACCCTGGAATGAGTAGGTGTGTCCAAACTTTTGACTGGTACTGTATATATTATTATAGGTCAAATCAAATCGTATTTGCCACATGCGCCGAATACAACAGGTGTAGACATTACCGTGAAATGCTTACTTACAGCCCTTAACCAACAATGCATTTATTTTTTATAAAAAAGTAAAATAAAACAACAACAAAAAAGTTGTTGAGAAAAAAAGAGCAGAAGTAAAATAAAATAACAGTAGGGAGGCTATATATACAGGGGGGTACCGGTGCAGAGTCAATGTGCGGGGGCACCGGCTAGTCGAGGTAATTGAGGTAATGTGTACATGTGGTAGAGTTAAAGTGACTATGCATAAATAATAAACAGCGTAAAAATAGGGGGTGGGGGGGCAGTGCAAGTAGTCCGGGTTGCCATGATTAGCTGTTCAGGAGTCTTATGGCTTGGGGGTACAAGCTGTTGAGAAGCCTTTTGGACCTAGACTTGGCGCTCCGGTACCGCTTGCCGTGCGGTAGCAGAGAGAACAGTTTATGACTAGGGTGGCTGGAGTCTTTGACAATTTTGAGGGCCTTCTTTGACAATTTTGAGGGCCTTCCTCTGACACCGCCTGGTATAGAGGTCCTGGATGGCAGGAAGCTTGGCCCCAGTGATGTACTGGGCCGTACGCACTACCCTCTGTAGTGCCTTGCGGTCGGAGGCCGAGCAGTTGCCATACCAGGCGGTGATGCAACCAGTCAGGATGCTCTCGATGGTGCAGCTGTAGAACTTTTTGAGGATCTGAGGACCCATGCAAAATCTTTTCAGTCTCCTGAGGGGGAATAGGCTTTGTCGTGCCCTCTTCACGACTGTCTTGGTGTGTTTGGACCATGATAGTTCGTTGGTGATGTGGACACCAAGGAACTTGAAGCTCTCAACCTGTTCCACTACAGCCCAGTCGATGAGAATGGGGGCGTGCTCAGTCCTCTTTTTTTCCTGTAGTCCACAATCATCTCCTTTGTCTTGGTCACGTTGACGGAGAGGTTGTTATCCTGGCACCACACGGCCAGGTCTCTGACCTCCTCCCTATAGGCTGTCTCATCGTTGTCGGTGATCAGTCCTATCACTGTTGTGTCGTGGGCAAACTTAATGATGGTGTTGGAGTCGTGCCTGGCCATGCAGTCATGGGTGAACAGGGAGTACAGGAGGGGACTGAGCACGCACCCCTGAGGGGCCCCCGTGTTGAGGATCAGCGTGGCAGATGTGTTGTTACCTAACCTTACCACCTGGGGGCGGCCCGTCAGGAAGTCCAGGATCCAGTTGCAGAGGGAGGTGTTTAGTCCCAGGATCCTTAGCTTAGTGATGAGCTTTGAGTGCACTATGGTGTTGAACGCTGAGCTGTAGTCAATGAATAGCATTCTCACGTAGGTGTTCCTCTTGTCCAGGTGGGAAAGGACAGTGTGGAGTGCAATAGAGATTGCATCATCTGTGGATCTGTTGGGGCGGTATGCAAACTGGAGTGGGTCTAGGGTTTCTGGGATAATGGTGTTGATGTGAGCCATGACCAGCCTTTCAAAGCACTTCATGGCTACAGACGTCAGTGCTACGGGTCGGTAGTCATTCAGGCAGGTTATCTTAGTGTCCTTGGGCACAGGGACTATGATGGTCTGCTTGAAACATGTTGGTATTACACATGCTATCTGAAGAATCAAGGAACATGTTCCAGTCTGTGCTAGCAAAACAGTCCTGTAGCTTAGCATCTGCGTCATCTGACCACTTTTCTATTAACCAAGTCACTGGTGCTTCCTGCTTTAGTTTTTGCTTATAAGCAGGAATCAGGAGGATATAGTTCTGGTCAGATTAGCCAAATGGAGGGTGAGGGAGAGCTTTGTATGCGTCTCTGTGTGTGGAGTAAAGGTGGTCTAGAGTTTGTTTTTTTCCCTCTGGTTGCACATTTAACATGCTGGTAGAAATTAGGTAGAACGGATTTAAGTTTCCCTGCATTAAAGTCCCCGGCCACTAGGAGCGCTGCATCTGGATGAGCGTTTTCCTGTTTAGTTATGGCCTTATACAGCTTATTGAGTGCAATCTTTTGTGGTGGTAAATAGACAGCTATGAAAAATATATATGAAAACTCTCTTGGTAAATAGTGTGGTCTACAGCTTATCATAAGGTACTCTACCTCAGGCGAGCAAAACCTTGAGACTTCCTTAGTATTTGATTTTGTGCACCAGCTGTTGTTTACAAATATACACAGACCGCCACCCCTTGTCTTATCGGAGTCAGCCGTTCTATCCTGCCGATGTAGCGTATATCCCTTCAGCTGTATGTTGTCCATGTCGTCGTTCAGCCACGACTCGGTGAAAAATAAGATATTACAGTTTTTAATGTCCCGTTTGTAGGATAACCGTAATTAGGTAATCTAATTTATTTTCAAATGATTGACTCGCTCGCTGTCGTATCCTTGCAAGGCACCCCGACCTACGTCCACGATTTGTTTAATTCCATATGTGTTATTTTATAGTTTTGATGTCTTCACTATAATTCTACAATGTAGAAAATAGTAAAAATAAAGACAAACCCTGGAATGAGTAGGTGTGTCTAAACTTTTGACCGGTACTGTATATGCATATCGGGTCAGGTGGGAAAGCCACAGATCCATTTCGGAACGTGTCCAACTTTTTGGACCTGTGAAGACCTCTAGTTCACACGCAAAGCTGCTATGTCATGGGGACTGCTCTCTCCGTAACAGTTGTCATGGGGACCTCTCTCTCTCTGTAACAGTTGTCATGGGGACCTCTCTCTCTCTCCGTAACAGTTGTCATGGCGACCGCTCTCTCCGTAACAGTTGTCATGGGGACCTCTCTCTCTCTGTAACAGTTGTCATGGGGACCTCTCTCTCTCTCCGTAACAGTTGTCATGGTGACCGCTCTCTCCGTAACAGTTGTCATGGGGACCTCTCTCTCTCCGTAACAGTTGTCATGGCGACCTCTCTCTCTCTCTGTAACAGTGGTCATGGTGACCTCTCTCTCTCTCTCTCTCTCTCTCTCTCTCGGTAACAGTGGTCATGGTGACCTCTCTCTCTCTCTCTCCGTAACAGTTGTCAACGGGTCAGTTTAGGATCAGTGTGTTTATGAGCGGTGTGTCACGAGGGCCATAGGTCAGGACCTGGGCACCAGCGCGGGGTGTGTGTACCAAAGACCTTGTCATAATACCAGTGCGGGACACAATGCGTGCGCTGTACCAGATTTCTCCTCTTAAAAGGGTGTGTGTGTGTGTCACGGGGGGGGGCAGGGGTCAAGACATAGGCACCAGAAGGGCCAACCTAAAGCATCAAAGACCTAATTCCCAGCGTGAGACACATAATGCCAGCGTTGTACCGGGTTTTTACAGATCTTTCCTGTTGAACGGGACCCCTCAGCGTGGTACCCCTCTCAACTCTCCTCTCCACCTCACACCACTCAGAGGTGAGATTAGGTGAAATGGGGGAACGAGACGGGGTATTACTGAACTGTTTGAGCTAGAAACACAAGCATTTAGCTAGGTATTACTGAACTGTTGGAGCTAGAAACAAGCATTTAGCTAGGTATTACTGTACAATCGTGGTCAAAAGTTGAGAATTACACAAATATAAATTTTCAGAAAGTCTGCTGCCTCAGTTTTTATGATTGCAATTTGCATACCAGAATGTTATGAAGAGTGATCAGATGAATTGCAATTAATTGCAAAGTCCCTCTTTGCCATGAAAATGAACTTAATCCCCAAAAAACATTTCCACTGCATTTCAGCCCTGCCACAAAAGGACCATCTGACATCATGTCAGTGATTCTCTTGTTAACACAGGTGAGAGTGTTGACGAGGACAAGGCTGGAGATCACTCTGTCATGCTGATTGAGTTAGAATAACAGACTGGAAGCTTTAAAAGGAGGGTGGTGCTTGAAATCATTGTTCTTCCTCTGTTAACCATGGTTACCTGCAAGGAAACACGTGCCGTCATCATTGCTTTGCACAAAAGGGGCTTCACAGGCAAGGATATTGCTGCTAGTAAGATTGCACCTAAATCAACCATTTATCGGATCATCAAGAACTTCAAGGAGAGAGGTTCAATTGTTGTGAAGGCTTCAGGGCACCCAAGAAAGTCCAGCAAGCGCTAGGACCGTCTCCTAAAGTTGATTCAGCTGCGGGATCGGGGCACCACCAGTGCAGAGCTTGCTCAGGAATGGCAGCAGGCAGGTGTGAGTGCATCTGCACGCACAGTGAGGCGAAGACTTTTGGAGGATGGCCTGGTGTCAAGAAGGGCAGCGAGGAAGCCACTTCTCTCCAGAAAAAACATCAGGGACAGACTGATATTCTGCAAAAGGTACAGGGATTGGACTGCTGAGGACTGGGGTAAAGTCATTTTCTCTGATGAATCCCCTTTCCGATTGTTTGGGGCATCCGGAAAAAACCTTGTCCGGAGAAGACACGGTGAGCGCTTCCATCAGTCCTGTGTCATGCCAACAGTAAAGCATCCTGAGACCATTCATGTGTGGGGTTGCTTCTCAGCCAAGGGAGTGGGCTCACTCACAATTTTGCCTAAGAACACAGCTGTGAATAAAGAATGGTACCAACACATCCTCCGACAGCAACTTCTCCCAACCATCCAAGAACAGTTTGGTGACGACCAATGCCTTTCCAGCATGATGGAGCACCTCCATTAGGAAACTCCCCAGACCTTAATCCCATTGAGAACTTGTGGTCGATCTCAAGAGGCGGGTGGACAAACAAAAACCCACAAATTTTGACAAACTCCAAGCATTGATTATGCAAGAATGAGCTGCCATCTGTCAGGATGTGGCCCAGAAGTTAATTGACAGCATGCCAGGGCGGATTGCAGAGGGCTTGAAAAAGAAGGGTCAACACTGCAAATATTGACTCTTTGCATAAACTTAATATAATTGTCAATAAAAGCCTTTGACACTTATGGAATGCTTGTAATTATACTTCAGTATACCATAGTAACATCTGACAAAATATATCTCATAACACTGAAGCAGCAAACTTTGTGAAGACCAATACTTGTGTCATTCTCAAAACGTTTGACCACGACTGCACTGTTGGAGCTAGAAGCACAAGCATTTCGCTGCACCTGTGATGTCTGCAAATCTGTGTACGCGACCAATAACATTTGATTTGATTTTAACAAGAGTTAGGAGAGAGGAGAGTTGAAGGGAGAAGAGGGGTGATGGTGACAGCTTTATTCCAGTGAAATTAACCCCTAAAGCTTTTATCCCTTAACACTTCCAAAATGGTCACATCACAACATATTACGGACCATTCTGGAATGTTCTAGAGTGTTCTTTATGTTCCGGAGTGTCTCGCTTAGCTCCATTTCGCTTAGCACCTGAGACAACTGAGCTGGTTAGAGCGCTGGCTCAGAGGGCTCATTAGAGGCCCTGGGGGTCTTAGGGGCATGGAGGGCCAGGGAAAAGCCTCTTACGGGGCTGCCACACCACTTAGAACCAGCACCATGTGTGTTCAATGTGATCGCCTTTGGCTATGGAGGGTTGTTATGGATGCAGACTAAAGTGTGTGAGCGCGAGGGACTGCGTGCCTGTGTTTGTGTCTCAAGGTGTGTATGTGCGCGTGTGACTGTGTGTGTGTGTGTCTTCAGTGTGTGTCTGTGTCTCTGTGTGTGTGTGTGTGTGTGTGTGTGCGCCCTCGACTGCGTGCCTGTGTGTGTGTGTGTCTTCGGTGTGTGTGTGTGTGTGTGACTTCGGTGTGTGTGTGTTACGGGGGGCTATAGAGTCTATGGCTGGGTTCAAGCTGGGATTGTTAGCTAACGAGCTCTAACGAGCGAACTCTAACGAGCCAAAGCTGCTTTACGTGGAAAACAGTGGCTAGAGCCTGTATGTACAGGGGGGGGGGGGGGGGGGGGGGGGGTGATTCGGTGTGTGTGTTTCGATGTGTGTGTTTTTGGGGGGGGGGGGGGGGGGGGGGGTGTGTGTCCTTCTCTGTGATGTGTGTATGTGTAGTGTCAGAAAGTATTCACACCCCTTGACTTGGACTTTTTCCACTTTTTGTTGCGTTACAACCTGAATTTAAATTGAGATTTTGTGTCACTGGCCAACACACGATACCCCATCATGTCAAATTGGAATTATGTTTTTAGAAAAATGTCCTCATTAAAAATGAAAAGGTGAAATGTCTTGAGTCAATAAGTATTCAATCCCTTCGTTATGTCAAGCCTAAATAAGTTCAGGAGTAACAAAAAAGATCACATAATATGTTGCATGGGCTCACTCTGTGTGCAATACTATTGTTTAACATGATTTTTGAATGACTACCCATCTTTGTCCCCCCACACATACAATTACAGCGCTGCATCAGATGACCTGGCCTCCACAATCACCCGACCTCAACACAATTGGGACGGTTTGGGATGAGTCGGACCGTAGAGTGAAGGAAAAGCGGCCAACAAGTGGTCAGCATATGTGGAAAATCATTCCAGGTGAAGCTGGTTGAGAGAATGCCAAGAGTGTGCAAAGCTGTCATCAAGGCAAAGGGTGGCTATTTGAAGAATCTCAAATATAATATATATTTTTGATTTGTTTAATTCCATATGTGTTATTTCATAGTTTTGATGTCTTCACTATTATTCTACAATGTAGAAAATAGTAAAAATAAAGACAAACCCTGGAATGAGTAGGTGTCTAAACTTTTGACTGGTACTATATATGCATATCGGGTCAGTGGGAAAGCCACAGATCCATTTCGAAACAGGTCCAACTTTTTAGACCTGTGAAGACCTCTAGTTCACACGCAAAGCTGCTATGTCATGGGGACCTCTCTCTCCCCGTAACAGTTGTCATGGGGACCTCTCTCTCCCCGTAACAGTTGTCATGGTGACCTCGCTCTCTCTCTCTCTCCGTAACAGTTGTCATGGAGACCTCTCTCTCTCTCAGTAACAGTGGTCATGGTGACCTCTCTCTCTCTATCTCCGTAACAGTGGTCATGGTGACCTCTCTCTCTATCTCCGTAACAGTTGTCGACGGGTCAGTTTAGGATCAGTGTGTTTACGAGCGGTGTGTCACGAGGGCCATAGGTCAGGACCTGGGCACCAGCGCGGGGTGTGTGTACCAAAGACCTTGTCATAATACCAGTGTGGGACACAATGCCGGCGCTGTACCAGATTTCTCCTCTTAAAAGGGTGTGTGTGTGTGTCACGGGGGGGCCAGGGGTCAAGACATAGGCACCAGAAGGGCCAACCTAAAGCATCAAAGACCTAATTCCCAGCGTGAGACACATAATGCCAGCGTTGTACCGGGTTTTTACAGATCTTTCCTGTTGAACGGGACCCCTCAGCGTGGTACCTCTCTCAACTCTCCTCTCCACCCCACACCACTCAGAGGTGAGATTAGGTGAAATGGGGGAACGAGACAGGTGTGTGTGTGTCCTTCTCTGTGATGTGTGTATGTGTACAGTGCCTTCAGAAAGTATTGACACCCCTTGACCTTTTCCACTTTTTGTTGCGTTACAACCTGAATTTAAATTGAGATTTTGTGTCACTGGCCAACACACGATACCCCATCATGTCAAATTGGAATTATGTTTTTAGAAAAATGTCCTAATTAAAAATGAAAAGCTGAAATGTCTTGAGTCAATAAGTATTCAAACCCTTTGGTATGGAAAGCCTACATAAATTGCATAACAAGTCACATAATAAGTTGCATGGGCTCACTGTGTGCAATAATAGTGTTAACATGATTTCTCAATGACTACCTCATCTCTGAACCCCACAAATACAATTACACTACATCAAATCAAATGTTATTTGTACATACACATGTTTAGCAGATGTTATTGCGGGTGTAGCGAAATGCTTGTGTTTCTAGCTCCAACAGTGCAGTAATAATTAACAAGTAATATCTAACAATTTCACAACAATACACACTCATCTAAAGTAAAGGAATGGAATTAAGAAATATATAAATATTTGAACGAGCAATGACAGAGCGGCATGGACTAAGATACAGTAGAATATTATAGAATAGAATGCAGTATATACATATGAGATGAGTAGTGCAAGATATGGAAACATTATTAAAGTGACTAGTGTTGCATTATTAAAGTGGCCAGCGATTTCAAGTCTATGTATATAGGGCAGCAGCCTCTAATGTGCTAGTGATGGCTATTTAACAGTCTGATGGCCTTGAGATAGAAGCTGTTTTTCAGTCTCTCAGTCCCAGCTTTGATGCACCTGTACTGACCTCGCCTTCTGGATGATAGCGGGGTGAACAGGCCGTGACTCTTGTGGTTGATGTCCTTGATTACTTTTTGGCCTTCCTGTGACATCGGGTGCTGTAGGTGTCCTGGAGGGCAGGAAGTTTCCCCCCGGTGATGTGTTGGGCAGACCGCACCACCCTCTGGAGAGCCCTGCGGTTGCAGGTGGTGCAGTTGCCATCCCAGGCGGTGATACAGCCCGACAGGATGCTCTCAATTGTGCATCTGTAAAAGTTTGTGAGGGTTTTAGGTGCCAAGGGATATGTCTTCAGCATCCTGAGGTTGAAGAGGTGCTGTCACTATTGCGCCTTCTTCACCACACTGTCTGCGTGGGTGGACCATTTCAGTTTGTCAGTGATGTGTATGCCAAGGAACTTGAAGCTTTCCACCTTCTCCACTGCGGTCCCGTCGATGTGGATAGGGGGGGTGCACCCTCTGCTGTTTCCTGAAGTCCAGGATCATCTCCTTTGTTTTGTTGACGTTGAATGAGAGATTATTTTCCTGGCACCACACTCCCAGAGCCCTCACCTCCTCCCTGTAGGCTGTCTCGTCATTGTTGGTAATCAGGCCTACCATTGCTGTGTCGTCTGCAAACTTGATGATTGAGTTGGAGGCATGATTGGCCACGCAGTCATGGGTGAACAGGGAGTACAGGAGGGGGCTGAGCACGCACCCTTGTGGGGCCCCAGTGTTGAAGATCAGCGAAGTGGAGATGTTGTTTCCTACCTTCACCACCTTGGGGCAGCCTGTCAGGAAGTCCAGGACCCAGTTGCACAGGGCAGGGTTCAGACCCAGGGCCTTCAGCTTAATGATGAGCTTGGAGGGTACTATGGTGTTGAAGGCTGAGCTATAGTCAATGAACAGCATTCTTACATAGGTATTCCTCTTGTCCAGATGGGATAGGGCAGTGTGCAGTGTGATGGCGATTGCATCGTCTTTGGATCTATTGGGGCGGTAAGCAAATTGAAGTGGGTCTAGGGTGACAGGTAAGGTAGAGGTGATATGATCCTTGACTAGTCTCTCAAAGCACTTCATGATGACAGAAGTGAGTGCTACGGGGCGATAGTCATTTAGTTCAGTTACCTTTGCTTTCTTGGGTACAGGAACAATGGTGGCCATCGTGAAGGATGTGGGGACAGCAGACTGGGATAGAGAGAGATTGAATATGTCCATAAACACTCCAGCCAGCTGGTCTGTGCATGCCTTGCGGGGGTTAACACGTTTAAATGTCTTACTCATGTCAGCCACGGAGAAGGAGAGCCAACAGTCCTTGGTAGTGGGCCGCGTCGGTGGCACTGTGTTCTCCTCAAAGCGGGTGAAGAAGGTGTTTAGCTTGTCCGGAAGCAAGATGTCGGTGTCGGCGATGTGGCTGGTTTTCCCTTTGTAGTCCGTGATTGTCTGTAGACCCTGCCACATACGTCTCGTGTCTGAGCCATTGAATTGCAACTCCACTTTGTCTCTATACTGATGTTTTTGCACTGTTTGTATTCTGCCATATTCCCAGTCACCTTGCCATGGTTAAATGCGGTGGTTCGTGCTTTCAATTTTGCGCGAATGCTGCCATATATCCACGGTTTCTGGTTAGGGTAGGTTTTAATAGTCACAGTGGGTACAACATCTCCTATACACTTCCTGATAAACTCAGTCACCGTCTCAGTGTACTCGTCACTGTTATTCTCAGAGGCTACCCGGAACATATCCCAGTCTGCGTGATCAAAACAATCTTGAAGCGTGGATTTCGATTGGTCAGACCAGCGTTGAATAGTCCTTAGCACGGGTACTTTCTGTTATGAATATACACGGCTGTGACTATAACCGAAGAGAATTATCTTGGGAGGTAATACAGTCAGCATTTGATTGGGAGGTATTCTAGGTCTGGTGAACAAAAGGACTTGAGTTCCTGTATGTTATCACAATCACACCATGAGTAGTTAATCATGAAACATACACCCCCGCGCCCTTCTTCTTCTCGGAGAGATCTTTATTTCTGTCTGCGCAATAAACTGAGAACCCAACAGGCTGTACGGACTCAGACAGTATATCCCGAGAGAGCCATGTTTCCGTGAAACAGAGTATGTTACAATCCCTGATGTCTATCTGGAAGGAAATCCTCGCACTGAGCTCGTCAACTTTATTATCCAGAGACTGAACTCGGAAGCGGTGGGTGGTGAGCGCGCCTCCCGAGTCGGACTAGAAGACCGCTCCGAATACCTCTTCTCCGCCGGCGGTGTTTTTGATCAACCTCTAGGGGGTACGAAAAAAGGATCAGATTCGGGAAAGTTCGTATTCTTGGTCGTAATGCTGGCGAGTTACCGCTGCTCTGATATCCAAAAGTTATTCCCGGCTGTAATGGAATGATGTAATAACAAACTAAAAAAATCTGGCCTAATACTGCAAGAAATAACACCTAAAAAAACAAAAATACTGCATCGGCGTCATTTTTCCTGACCAAAAGTATGTGAACACCTGCTCGTCAAACATCTCATTCCAAAATCATGGGCATTAATATCGAGTCGGTCCCCCCTTCGCTGCTATAACAGCCTCCACTCTTCTGGGAAGGCTTTCCACTAGATGTTGGAACATTGCTGCGGGGACCACAAGAGCATTAGGGAGGTCGGGCACTGATGATGGGCGATTAGGCCTGGCTCACAGTCGGCGTTCCAATTCATCCAATTCATTAGATGGGGTTGAGGTCAGGGCTCTGTGCAGGCCAGTCAAGTTCTTCCACACCGATCTCGACAAACCATTTCTGTATGGACCTTGCTTTGTGCATTGGGGCATTTTCATGCTGAAAACCATCAAGCGCTATGATGAAACTGGCTCACATGAGGACCGCCACAGGAAAGGAAGACCCAGAGTTACCTCTGCTGCAGAGGATAAGTTAATTAGAATAACTACACCTCAGATTGCAGCCCAAAAAATGCTTCACAGAGTTCAAGTAACAGATAGATCTCAACATCAACTGTTCATAGGGGACTGTGTGAATCAGGCCTTCATGGTCGAATTGCTGCAAAGAAACCACTACTAAAGGACACCAATAATAAGAAGAGACTTGCTTGGGCCAAGAAACATGAGCAATGGACATTAGACCGGTGGAAATGTGTCCTTTGGTCTGATGAGTCCAAATTTGAGATTTTTGGTTCCAACCGCTGTGTCTTTGTGAGACGCAGAGTAGGTGAATGGATGATCTCCGCATGTGTGGTTCCCACCGTGAAGCATGGAGGTGGTGGTGGTGTGATGGTGCTTTGCTGGTGACACTGTCTGTGATTTATTTAGAATTCAAGGCACACTTAACCCCTCAGAGCCTGGTTCCTCTGGTCTACCCAGTACAGTCAGTAGAGGACTGGCCACCCCTCAGAGCCTGGTTCCTCTCTACCCAGTACAGTCAGTAGAGGACTGACCACCACTCAGAGCCTGGTTCCTCTGGTCTACCCAGTACAGTAAGTAGAGGACTGACCACCCCTCAGAGCCTGGTTCCTCTCTGAAGACAGAGAAGGTGTGTGTGTGTGTGTGTGTGTGAGAGAGATACTAACCGGCAGGTGTGTGAAGACAGAGAAGGTGGAACAGAGGAAGGCGATGAGGTCACTCAGGTAGTCGCTCGGAGCCCCGCCCCCCTGGGCTGCTGTCCAATCATAGTCCGCCAGCTGAATGAACTGGTCGATCTTAGCGTTCAGATTGGTGTAGATCTCCTCTTCTGCTGCGTGTCTCGCATCCTGGAGAGCCAGATGTTTACATTTAGGTATTTTAGCAGATAACAGAGCAACTTTCAGTTAGCGCCTGATCGATATGGGATTGTTGGGTCCGATACCAATTTTATGGAGGCAAAAGTCACTAATTACCGACATACACTGAGTATACAAAACATTAAGAACACCTGCTCTTTCCATGACACACTGAATGAGGTGGATCCAGGTGAAAGCTATGATCCCTTATTGATGTCACCTGTTAAATCCACGTGAATCAGTGTAGATGAAGGGGGAAGAGACAGGTTATAGAAGGATTTTTAAGCCTTGAGACAATTGAGACATGGATTGTGTTATGTGTGCCATTCAGAGGGTGAATGGGCAAGACAAAATATTTAAGTGCCTTTGAACGGGGAATGGTAGTAGGTGCCAGGCGCACCGGTTTCTGTGTCAAGAACTGCAACGCTGCTGGGTTTTTCACACTCAACAGTTTTCCCCGTGTGCATCAAGAATGGCCCACCACCCAATGGACATAAAGCCAACTTGACACGACTGTGGGAAGCGTTGGTGTCAACATGGGGCCGGCATCCCTGTGGAACTGCAGATTGCGTATTTCAGAAACGAACTAAATAACTAACATAATGAAGCCCACAGTGTTCTCTGTGTTCACTTTGGCGCCAGTCCAGTATTAGCACATTGGTAGCACACATTGCTAGGTAACTAGCTAAGCAAACTACCTTTCTGGCTAGCTAGCCAGCTAATGTTAATTAGGTGAGAACGTGATGAGGACAGGGGCTGCTTGCTTGGTGAAGTGTACTTTTGATTATTTAATTATTCAAAAAAATATGCTGGCTGTGGCAAGCTGCTCACTGTCAAATCGCTATGCCTACTCTTGAGCTCCTGAGTGGCGCAGTGGTCTAAGGCACTGCATCGCAGTGCTAACTGTGCCACTAGAGATCCTGGTTCGAATCCAGGCTCTGTCGCAGCCGGCCGCGACCGGGAGACTCATGGGCGGCGCACAATTGGCCTAGCGTTGTCCAGGGTAGGGGAGGGAATGGCCGGCAGGGATGTAGCTCAGTTGGTAGAGCATGGCGTTTGCAACGCCAGGGTTGTGGGTTCGATTCCCATGGGGGGCCAGTATATAAATAAAAAATGTATTCACTAACTGTAAGTCGCTCTGGATAAGAGCGTCTGCTAAATGACTAAAATGTAAAATGTAAAATGTACTCTCTCTCTCTCACATTGTGACCTAGGGCTGAATGATGTTCAATGAGCGGCTCGTAGAGCGTCCTCTTCAGGGAACCATTGAAAATGTTTTTAAAAAAATTTGACACAAATGAGCAGACGTATTTGTTTATTCTATGTATATAATATTGGTGCTTTATCTGTGGAATAAAGACCGATACAAATATTTCTGTGAAATGCTTATATCGGACGATAATATCGGTCAACCGATTTATTGGTTGGGTTCTACTTACAGTCAGTTCATTCAATTAAGGTAAGTAGGTCAACCACATATCACTCATAGCAAGGAAAACGTTCCTCTAGAAAGCGGCTATCAGCAACATCAGTGCCTGTAACAAAGGACAAGTGGGGGATGGAGAGGGAGAGACGGACGGAGAAAGACGGACGGGGAAAGAGGGAGAGACGGACGGGGAAAGAGGGAGAGACGGACGGGGAAAGAGGGAGAGACGGACGGGGAAAGAGGGACGGGGAAAGACGGACGGGGAAAGAGGGAGAGACGGACGGGGAAAGAGGGAGAGACGGACGGGGAAAGAGGGAGAGACGGACAGGGAAAGAGGGGAGAGGACGGGGAAAGAGGGAGAGACGGACGGGGAAAGAGGGACGGGGAAAGACGGACGGGGAAAGAGGGAGAGACGGACGGGGAAAGAGGGAGAGACGGACGGGGAAAGAGGGAGAGACGGACGGGGAAAGGGGGAGAGACGGACGGGGAAAGAGGGAGAGACGGACGGGGAAAGAGGGAGAGACGGACAGGGAAAGAGGGTGAGATGGTCGGGGAAAGAGGGAGAGACGGACGGAGAAAGGGGGAGAGACGGACGGAGAAAGACAGAGACGGATGGAGAAAGAGAGAGAGTCTGGTTGCGCATGAGCATGTGCGTACCTTAAACGTGGACGTCCCGTAGAGCTTGGTAGCGTTGGCGGTCTCGGGGGGAACATTAGTGATGTTGGAGATGAACTCCTCCAGGTAAACACATGATGCTTCCAGCTGGGTCGTGTTGATGATCACCTGAACCAGCTAACACACAAACACACACACACACACGTGATCAGGCAGAGGCACACCTCTGAGAGACCTCATAAGCAACATATCCAAACATTCCCCATAATCCTCTTTAAAAACTCAGACAGATTATCAAACATGTCCTTGCCAACAATACTTAGCACCTCTGAACAGTGTCACACAGCAAAGACTTTGAAAGTCGTCAGCCACTCAGCCTTGTTAAAATACTCCAAACCAGAAGGTGGCAGTAGCATTGTTTGCTTAAGGTCTAGATTCGAAGCTAGCTGCGTTAATGTTGCCATTTTCTAGAAAGCCCTTGTTGATACTAGCCAGATGGCCACAGCTAGATAACTACCTAGCAAGATGACGAAGAACATTCTTAATTCACTCTCGATATCCCATACTGCCAGTGCCAGCCCATAGCCAAATGTTTAGCTAGCTAGCTAGCGTAAGCATATTTGCTAGATAGCTAGCTAGCTAGCAGTTGTGCTAAGGACACTGCACTAACCCGGCAGCTAACACAGGCAGCGGTTTCATGGAAACTAGCTAATCCATTGTAATTTCATTATAATGTCAATACTAGCTACAGTGGTTAGCTAGCACGGAGGAAGAATTTAGTGTTGTGTAGCATTGCGTCTGTGCCCTTAGCTAGCTACCATCCCATAGCCTACATTGCATATGAAGTGTGACTGGCTCATCCGTGGACGTGCAGAGAAAACGCCCTCTTTTTCTTCCTTTTGTTGGTGCCTCCCCCACGTGGGGGGGGGGGGGGGGGGGGGGGGGGGGGGTGGGGGGGGTTCGTGCTCTCTGATTTGCTCAAAATCAAGTTGTTGGCCACTGACGAGCGCTGCGATTCGACGAGTGGAAACGGTAGGTTCGTCGCATACCGGGTCACCACTTTCCTTCTAGCATGAGAAGGAAAAGCCCTCCCACAGTGATAAGTACCTATCAGCAGTGAGGTTTTCTCAGTGTGTTTCATGCTTAATACTTAATACTATGATGGTCTTATCAATGGTACATATAGCTACATTCTATATAGACCTGAGGGAGGGTCACAATGTGTTTTACCTCATAGCAACCCCATAGCAACCCCTCCTTTAACAGATCTCATTAACTGTCTTACTGTCGCCTTGCTGTCGCTCACAGAACAAACCACACTGGAAATTAAGAGTCTGAGAAAGACAGAGAGCGAAAGAGTGATAAACACCATCAATTTATCCAGAACGCTGCAGCCCGCCTGGTGTTCAACCGTCCCAAGTTCTCCCATGTCACCCCCGCTCCTCCGCACACTCCACTGGCTTCCAGTCGAAGCGCGCATCAACTACAAGACCATGGTGCTTACCTACGGAGCAGCAAGAGGAACTTCCCCTCCCTACCTTCAGGCTCGGCTCAAACCCTACACCCCAACCCGAGCCCTCCGTTCTGCCACCTCGGGTCTCTTGGCCCTCCCACCCCTACGGGAGGGCAGCTCCCGCTCAGCCCAGTCCAAGCTCTTCTCTGTCCTGGCACCCCAATGGTGGAACCAGCTTCCCCCTGAAGCTAGGACAGCAGAGTCCCTGCCCATCTTCTGAAAACATCTGAAACCCTAACTCTTCAAAGTGTATTTTAAATAATCCCACAGCACAGTTTGCTCTAAGTAAAACTGAGAAAAAACTGCAAATAAATTAACTTCATGTCCTGGATTTAAAGTGTTAAGTTTGGGGCAAATACAACACATCACTGAGTACCACTCTTCATATTTTCAAGCATGGTGGTGGCTGCATCATGTTATGGGTATGCTTGTCATCGGTAAGGACTAGGGAGTTTTTTTTGTTGATAAAATGAAACGGAATACAGCTAAACACAGGCAAAACGGTTCAGTCCGGTTTGGTCTGCTTTCCAACTGACACAGAGAGACAAATTCACCTTCCAGCAGCACAATAACAAACACTGGTTACCAAGACAACATATACACTGGTTACCAAGACAACATATACACTGGTTACCAAGACAACATTCAATGTTCCTGAGTGGCCAATTTGCATATATTTCTCAAAGTACACTGTATAAAAATCATTTTTGTTGATTTTTATTTTTATTTTATTTCACCTTTATTTAACCAGGTAAACCAGTTGAGAACAAGTTCTCATTTACAACTGCGACCTGGCCAAGATAAAGCAAAGCAGTGCGATAAAAAACAACAACACAGAGTTACATATGGCGTAAAACAAAACAAAGTCAAAAATCAAAAATACAGAAACAGAAATACATATATATACAGTGTGTGCAAATTTAGCAAGTTATGGAGGCGGGTTGCAGGAAAGTATATTTAGTTAAAGAATGAAAGTAAAAAATTGAGAATGAAAGTAAAAAATTGAGAAATATAGACAAAAACAAGAAGCGGGATATTTACACAGGACGAAAAATAAAAGCGA